ATTTTAATATTTAATAAGCCATAGGTTATGAATTCACAAGGTGCGAAAGGGTACTTTCAGTGAAAAGCCATCTAACCCTGTTCCCCTGTTCTCCTAGAGGCAGCCATTGTTATCCCTTTCTTTTATCTTGTTTCTTGTCATCTTGTTATACAAATACTAGAGAACAGGTACACAAAAATTTGTGCACTGGCGGGGGAGGGGGGTGTCCCTCAGCCTGGCCTGTGCCCTCTCACAGTCTGGGACCCCTCGGGAGATAACGACCTGCTGGCTTAGGCCCGCTCCCGGGTGGCAGAAGGCAGGCCCAATCCCTAGGTGCCTGCCCCGCAGCTCCTGGTCGGGCTCAGAGCAGGGCTGATTGGGGAGTTGGGGCGCCGCCCCCTGTCATACACAGAGCAGGGTGGATCAGGAAGTTGCGATGCCACCCTCAGTCACGCTCAGGGTAGGGTCGATTGGGGGGTTGGGGCGCCGCCCCCTGTCACACTCAAGGCAGGATCGATGGGGAGGTTGCGGCGCCACCCCCTGTCACATACAGAGCTGGCTGATCAGGGGGTTGGGGCGCTGCCCCCTGTCATGCACAGAGCAGGGCCCATCAGGGAGGTTGGGGCTCCATACCCTGTCACACACAGAGCAGGGCCGATCAGGGGGTTTGGGCGCTGCCCCCTGTCACGCTGCTCCAGGGGCCAGGAGGCCTCGCTGCTCCGCTGATCCTGGTGCTGGGAGGCATATTACCCTTTTACTATATAGGATAGAGGCCTGGTGCATGGGTGGGGGCCGGCTGGTTTGCTCTGAAGGGTGTCTTGGATCAGGGTGGGGGGTCCCGCTTGGGTGCCTGGCCAGCCTGGGTGAGGGGATGATGGCTGTTTGCAGCTGGTCACACCCCCTTCAGGGTGGGGATCCCCACTGGGATGCCTGGACAGCCTGGGTGAGGGGCTGAGGGCTGTTTTCAGGCTGGCGGGTGACTGAAGCTCCCAGCCTCTCCTTTTTTCCTTTTTTTTTTTTTTATTCTTGGATTTATTTACCTTCTATTGCTGTCACTGGAGCTGAGAGCCGGCTTTAGCTGTGAGACCTCAGCTGCTGAAAGCAGGTGTCTGGCTTTGTTTACCTTCTGTATTTGAAACTTTGTTGCGACTCCAGCTCTGAGATCTCGGCTGACTGAAAGCAGGTTTCTAGGGTTTTGTTTAGCTTCTATATTTGTAACAATGTTTCTTAGAGAGCAGCTCAGAGCCCAGCAGCGGCAGGTGGGGAACCTTGGCTTCCCCCGTCACTGGAGCAAGCAAGCCTCCTGTTCGCGTCAGTTGCCTGGCTGCTGGCCGCCATCTTGGTTGGCAGTTAATTTGCATATTGCCCTGATTAGCCAATGGGAAGGGTAGCGAAGTTACGGCTAATTACCATGTTTCTCTTTTATTAGCTAGGAGGATGTCCATCTACCCCCTCCATTTTTTTATCCTAACCCGAGGATATGTTTAGTGATGAGAGAGAGAGAGAGAGGTGAGAGAGGAACATTAATTGGTTGCCTCCTGTATGCACCCCAACTGGGACCAAACTCACAACCTACGTATGTGCCCTGACCAGGAATCGAACCCAAGACCTTTTGGTGTATGGGATGATGATCCAACCAACTGAGCCACACTGGCCAGAGCTATTCCCTCCATTTTTAAACTAATGGTTTAAAGCATATTATAAACCCTGTTCTGCTCCTTGTTTTTTCACCAAATATGTATCAAAGATTCTTCCATATCAATATGTTAAAATAGTATTTTATAACTACATAGTAGTCATTGTGTGGCTGTACTATTGACAGGCCTTTTAGAAGGTTTCCAAACTTTTGCTATTACACACAATTTTGCAATGACATACGTGGAAGTGGAAAGTTCAGGTCAATGAGTACGTGCATAGCCTTATTAGATGTTACCATACTTCTCTCTGGAGGCTGTAACAATCAACTCTCATACTAGCAGTGCATCATTATTTCTTCACACTCTTGTGAATGGACTGTGTGAAAGTCTTTTTTTTTTTTTTTTTTTTTTTTTAATCCTCATCGAGGGCATGCTTAGAGAGAGGAAGGGGAGAGAGACAGAGGAGAGAGAAACATTTATATGCTGCTCTCCCCACATGTCCTGATTGGGAATCGAATCAGGAACCTTTTGGTGCACAGCATGATGCTCAACCAAATGAGCCACTCCAGCAGGCTATGTGATGGACTTTTTGACCTTTGTCAATCTGATAAGTGACTCCCAGTATAATTTTAATTTGCATCTCTTTTAATCTGAGTTAGGTTGAAGAGCCACTTATATTTCCTTTTCTGTAAACTGTTATTTCCTTTGAGCTGCTTATTCTTTTCCTTAGTGATTTGTAAGAGTTCTTTATATACTAAATAAATTAAACTCTTGTCAACAATACATGTTGTGAATATTCCCCACCCATTTCCCCAGTTTCTCTTTTGTTTTGCCTTGTGTGTGGTGGTTTTTGTCATGCAATTTTTATTTCCTTCTTTCATTTTCTGGGTTTCCTATCTTATTAGAAAGATCATACTACTCAAAAATTATTTAAAAATTGGCCCAGCTGGCATGGCTCAGTGGTTGAGCATCAACCTTTGAATCTGGAGGTCACTGTTTGATTCCCAGTCAGGGCACATGCCTGGGTTGTGGGCTCGACCCCCAGTTGAGCCCATAGTGTGGGGCATGCAGGAGGCAGCCAAACAATGATTCTCCCTTGTCATTGATGTTTCTATCTCTTTCTCCCTCTCCCTTCCTCTCTGAAATCAATAAAAATATTTTTAAAAATTATTTAAAAATTTACCCCATGGGTCTTCTTAATATTTAAATGGTTTCATTTTCCATGTTTATATTGTTGATATATTTAAAATTTTTGTGTAAATAGTAAGGTAAGGATCAAGTTCATCTTTTCCTAAATGGATAGCAAGGTATTATAATACTTGATTAAATAATTCATGTTTTTAAAATTATATCTAAATTTCCATATCTATTTGGGTCTATTTCTTGGTTTTACCTTCTGTTCTAGTGATTTGTCTGACTATTCACCTGCATGTACCACATACATTATTATAGCTTTGTAATATCGTTTAACATTTGGTAAAACTAATCAATCACCTAATGGTAATCTTTGGGTAAATAATATTTAACATGTTTTTAATAAAACTATTTGTATATGTCCATAATTCTAGATGTCTCATATGCCTTCTATATCTTCTCTATGTTGCTCTAGAGCACTCCATGCTGACTTTTAGGGTTCTTTGCTTTGCAGACAAACTCAAGATAAATTGAGCATCATCTCTACAAATTCAGGGGATCTTGGATTTGATTCAGAAGAAATTCAGAGCCCAGAAGACATTTTTACAAAGGTACCCTTATTTGAGCTATTAGATGTATGTCCCTTGCATGGCATAGCATTGTGTCTGTCCCATTGGTTGACTATAGCCCTGATTACATGGGAAAGGGAGAACTCTAAGCAGAAAGCACCAACAGATCTTGTTTTTACCTATAATCTACAAGGTGTGGCAGACCCAATGTGTTGGGAGAAAAGGACTCTGTCCAATCAGCAGGGCCATGTTGGCCCGTGGACATCGACTTCTAGGAGGCTCCAGCAACACAATCACGGGAGCTCCTGGAACGTTGAGGTCTCTGGAGTTGACACTAGATTTCTGCAGGGAGCTGGAGCCAGAGTGAGAGAAGTGGGAAGAGATGGGAGAGGCCCCTGGGAATCAAGAGAGGTTCCACCTGTAGATGATCTGATTACTCCTTGTTCTATTTATCAGGTCCTTGGGATTCCCAAGAGGCAGGAGTACTTGGAGTACTCGGCACGATGCCTGGCACCAAGAAATATGCAGTAAGTATATTTTAAATGGACGGATGAATTGATGAGTGAGGGAGTGGGTACCTGCACGCCACAGGAGCCTTCTTTCATCGCATGTGTCTTCCTGGAGCCTCTAGTAACCTCACAGGAAAGAGCAGAACTGGGACATGACTAGTAGGGTCTGGTCCTGATTCCTTTGTCCTGTCCTGTTGTCCTGTGCAGGGGAGAAATGCTGAGTGAGCAAGTGCTGTGAGCCCTGCTCATCCACCTCCAGAGGGCTCGGAGAGTTTCTGCTAGCTTTTTCCCCTTGTGTTTCCTCTCTTCTTCAATAGCATGCAATATTGAAATGTCACCCTCATTCATACCTCGCCCTTTTCTACACCAAAACCTTGGGAAATGCGAGTGAGACAGCTCATTTTAACAGCCAACTCTTATACAGTGTTTACTATGTGCTTGTCTCTGACTCAAATTATCGACCTATTTAATTATCTTTTTAATACTGAAACCAGGTAGGTATATACTTTTATTAAGCCCTTTGTACAAGTGAGGAAACTGAGTTAACACAGTTTAGTAACTTGCCTGGGACCATGGAGCTTGTAAGAAGATCAGTTGGGATTTGAACCAGGAAGTCCATGCACTGAAACACTATACCTTTCCTTGGTATGTACATGGATGTGTTCACTGAAGTGTCACATAAAGCACAGAAAAGTGCGCAAATCAAGCGTGTGACTCAATGAATGTTCACAAAGTGAGCACACCTGGGTAACCAGCACGCAACTCAAAGAACAGAACACTCCTGGAGTTCCCAACATATATCTTCCCAATCTCTACCCCGTCCCCACCAAGAGATACCACTGTCCTGACTTCTCTCACCATTCTCCTGGGGGTTTCTTCCTTGTCTTCCTATTTTAATCACATTTGTATTTCAAGTATCATGGGGTCTGTTGCTTAAGCTAAAAATATTCTGTCTTTCAGGCGTGGAGGTGGGGGTGGTTGGAGAGAAGACATTCCCTAGATAAGAGAAATAATAGAGGGTAGGAAAGGTAGGGGGCAGTCGCTGCATTTCCCCCTCATTCTCTTTGCTGGTTCCTGTGAGGTTCCACTCCTTCCTCCGTCCTCCTCTCTCAGGACTACATCTCCCAGCAGGCTGTGCTCTGACAGCTCTCGGTTTTAAATAGGATTCTGGGCTAGGCTTAGAGCCAGGCTGTTGCTGAGAGCTCTGAGAGGAGCTAGAAGAGGGAGAAGCAGCCAGAAGCAGACAAGAGTTGGAGGCAGACCAGGAGCCCGAACCCGAGTTAGAGTCGAAGGTGTTTTTACTAAGGAGCAGAAACTAAAGAAGTTGAAAAGATGATGGTTATCTTGGGACTGCTCACCTCCTTCCTTTCCTTCCTGTATGTGATAGCTCCATCCATCAGGTTTGTCTTAATTTCAGTGACTCATACAGTATTTTACAAATCCCTAAATTGGGAGCCATGGAACTCGTAAGTAGATGAATTCTCTCTCGGCTGCTGAAAGAAGAGGAAGGGATAGAGGTTAAGGGAGAGAAAGTCAGGGCAGAAGAAACAGAAAGGGAAGAGGTAATTATGGAAGCCATGAAGCAAAGTAAGAAGGAAGCACCTGGGCTGGGAGTAGAGGGGCTGATTTGAATGCTGATGCTAGTGGAAGGCTGAGTGGATGAGTGTTAAGTTGCTTGACAGACAACTCAGGGGAAAGTCCTTCTCTTTCACTCTGTTCCCCTGGGTTCCTTGGAAGGTCTTCCTTTCTTCATTGTTTCTAGTTAAGGTGGCCCTGCTGGGTTACTATGGGTGGTCATTGCTGAGGGACTCATTAAGTACCAGGCATTTGGGAAAGGAAACAAACTCTCTTTCCTCAACTAGAGATGTTTTGGGATGGCTCTTTTGCTGTGGGATTTCTGGAAGTGTCCAAGAAACGTGTGTCTGAGCAGAGAATTTTCAAATTGCTGATGGTAAAGAAGGTTACATGGACATATGAGGGACAGAGTGTTGCTCTGGGTCCTGGCATAGAAACCTGGGTTCACATGACAGTTTTGCCACTATTAACAAGTGACTTGAACTTCTTTGAGCCTCATTCCCTACCCCCTCCCCCCCCACTGTAATATGGGGTTAATAAGAGAGCGGTTGAGAGGATTAAAATAAATCCCCCCGGAAAGTGCCGGAGAGTTAAATGGTGCTCAGAAATATCATCTGTCCCCACCTCTCATCCTCTTTTTGGAACTTGTCAAGTTAACTTTATGTAAAAAGATGCTCTCTGCACAGAGGTCTGAAAAGAGAGGGTTTCTCAGTGTGCTGATAGCTAGAATGGAATCTCTGAAGATGGCAAAAAAAAAAAAAAAAAAAAAAAAAAAAGTGAAGATGCTGGCTCTCTAAAACTGGAGAGGGAGCCGAAACCAGTTTGGCTCAGTGGATAGAGCGTCGGCCTGTGGATTGAAGGGTTCCAGGTTCGATTCCGGTCAAGGGCATGTACCTTGGTTGCGGGCACATCCCCAATAGGAGATGTGCAGGAAGCAGCTGATCGATGTTTCTCTCTCATCGATGTTTCTGACTCTCTATCTCTCTCCCTTCCTCTCTGTAAAAAATCAATAAAATATAAAACTGGAGAGGGAGCCCAAGAGCCACATTTGTATGTGGGACCCTCTGAGGTGCCATTCCTCAGTTATTCACTGTTGGTGCTTATTGAAGACGGAGGGCTCAGGACCAGCGAATCCTTTAATGCTCTTTGCATGTTTTAATGCAGGTTAGAGGCGGCAGCTGACCTCCAGGAACCTCTAGAGATAAGAGCTTTGTTATCTTTATCTAATAAGGAAGGTCTCCCTGGGCTCCAGCTCAAGAGCACTTCCACTGTTTGCCTAGATGGCCATTTATAGCTTCTGGACACATGACCTTCCGACCTGAGCTGACGATCAGGAGACCCCCTCCCTCACTGGGAACACGTCCCCTGGAGATTAGCTTGTTTAGGTCTCCCGATGACAACTGTAAGAAATTCTTCTTTGAGGCTGGACGGGTGTTATGTATCTCAGTCTGGGGTTGGGAAGGATGGTGCATGAGTGCTTTTGCTTCCCTTGCCTATAGGAAGTTCTTCGCTGGTGGGGTTTGTAGAACAGACGTGCAGCTTCCTGGGAAGATAGTGGTGATCACTGGCGCCAACACTGGCATCGGCAAGGAGACGGCCAGAGAGCTCGCTCGCAGAGGCAAGTCCCTCCACTTCCATGTCCACAGGGCAGCACCTCCTGCCTTTCTCACCCGGGCTCTGCCCACATTTCCTTGTCTTTTCTCCTGGGCTTGGAGGCTCTGGTCAGGAATTCAAGGAACATGGGATTCAGGCCCAGCTGTGACGCCAACTCAATCTGTGGCCTTAAACAAATTTCCCTTCCTCCCTGCTCCGTTACTGTTTGTCTTATATAAAGTAAGACAAACAATGATGTCCATGTACAGTGTTGGTCAAGTCCCTTATTCTAAAAGGAGATTCTAAGCAACATTAAATATCAGAGTGTAAAAACCTGGGTTCCCAGCCGAAGTTAAGCTAGTAGCAAGGAGAATGAGCAGGGCTGCAGTGAGAATCCTGAAGAGTGGCAATACAACACTCACTGCTTTAGGGGTGGCTGGAGAACGCTCTGTGTACCAGTCCCAAGCTCACTTACTATACTCTTTCTCAGCCTACGGTCTGAACACATTGCCCTCTTTTTTTGCCCCAGGAGCCCGAGTATACATTGCCTGCCGAGATGTACTCAAGGGGGAGTCTGCTGCCAGTGAAATCCGAGCCGATACAAAGAACTCCCAGGTGCTGGTGCGGAAACTGGACCTATCGGATACCAAATCCATCAGAGCCTTTGCTGAGGGCTTTCTGGCAGGTAAGGCCCTGGTGGGTAGCCAGAAAAGCAAGAAGCTGGGTGTGGGAGGGGTTGCCCCACCCAGACCTGTCTCTGACCCTTACATCAGAACCATCATGGATTCCACTGGACGGGTTCTGCCACATGAACCAGCAGGGCAGGGAATTGGCAAGGGGATGGCAGGTGGACCAGCTGGGCAGGATCCTTATCATCCTTTTGCCTTTGCAATGGGAATGTTGGAGGTATCAGCTCCCTGTCTGGGCTTGTACATTGGCATCAAGGTGTGGCCCTGATGCCACTCTCTTCTTTCATTCTGAGAAGCAGCCTTCTGTGGCCACAGGCACCAAATGAGGTTGTGTTGCTTCCAAAATTCTTGTGTATCTTAGAAAATATCCAGCTTTTACCAATGACTATGAAATCCATGAGGTTTAGGGACCATGCCTGTCCTGTTTTACCACTGTATGCCCAGCAGAGTGGGCCTGGCCCAGAGTCAGTACTCAGTACATATTTGCTGAATGAATGAATGAATGAATGAATGGTGTCCAGGGAGATATCAATTACTAAAGTTAGAAACCCAAATAACAGTGGTTACTGAATATCACTAAGATAGGTCCAAAGGCAAGGAGTAAATACTCAGGACTGTGCTGGGCAGCTAGCAGACTTCTTGCTAACTACAGGGTCTCCTTGGTTGTGTTACAGAGGAAAAGCAGCTCCATATTCTGATCAACAATGCAGGAGTGATGATGTGTCCATATTCCAAGACAGCTGATGGCTTTGAAACCCACCTGGGAGTCAACCACCTGGGTAAGTACTTCTGAGTGACTAAAAAGCAAGGCTGACCCCATCTTGTTCTCTGTAGGTGTAGATGACCGTACACTAGTTCTGAGAATCTCCAGTGGTCCTACTGGAGGCCAGGGTTCCAATAGACTGGACATACAGGATTTTTGTCCACTATCCCTCTCCTGACTAGTCCAAAAAAGTGAGGTCCTCCTACACATACCATTAAAAAAAAAAACCCAATTATCAGAGGGAAAGGAGGGTGGGGGGAGGTAGGAAAGGGAATGAGGGGATAAATGATTAAATGATGATGGAAGGAAACTTGACTTGTTGTGTTGAACACACAATACAATAACAGATGATGTATTATAGAATTGTATACCTGAAACCTATATAATTTTATTAACCAATATAACTCCAATCTATAATAACAAAAGCGTAATATGCTAATTAGAACAGACGTCCTTCCTTCCTTCCAGACAAAGCCGCAGTGGGCAGGGGGCAGGGGTGGGGGGTGGGAACCCACAGCAGAGACCCTGCAGCCCGCAGAGGCCCTGTGGCCGCAGCGGCGGCAGGCTGGGGGCCGTGGCCAAGGCCCTTGCACGAATTTCATGCATTGGGCCTCTAGTAAATTCAATAATAAATTAAAAAGAAAAAGAAATAAAGAAACCCCATAACTTTGAAGATACCAGGAAGAAAAATGCCTTCTTGGATGAGGCTGTGGTAGCACAAGGCTTGCCAAGCAGAGCCAGGCTTGGGGGCTGCAGGAGCCTATGTTTGGCTGGAGGGAGTCACATCTATAACTGGGGGTTCAGAAAGCCAAGGGTTGGTCGATGGAGGAGGCAAACCCTGAAGACTTGAGGTATGAGAGAGGCTGGGGTTCAGAGTTCAAGGTGATAGCTCTAGAGAGGAGATCATGGAATAGGTTCTCTGATCCTAGACAAATGTAATTTTCCCTAACTCTTCCACTCTTCCCTCTGTACACGGGTGTACCTGGACCCACAGTTGTGTGATCATGGCCATAGTGGGGTCAGAAGCCAGCAGGTAGCCTTTCTCCTAACTGGGGCAAGGGCAGAGGTTCAAACAAGTACAGATTAAGTCTATATTGCCTCACCTATAGTCTAGCTCTGGCCCTTGCCTTAAAGAATTCACTAACTCAGTCTGCCTGACCATTAGCACTGAGTTACATAAAAATTTTTCGCACCCAGAAGATAGGGAGCTAATGCTGAAGTCCTGTCCTCAGCTCCCACATCCTGAGCCTTGGCAGCCACTCCACTCTTTAAAAACAAAAAAAATTAAAATATATATATTTTTAAATTGATTTCAGAGAGGAAGGGAGAGGGAGAGAGAGCTAGAAACATCAATGACGAGAGAAAATCATTGATTGGCTGCCTCCTGTGTGCCCTTTCCTGGGGATCGAGCCTGCAACCTGGGCATGTGCCCTTGACCAGAATCGAATGGAACCCTTCAGTCCGCAGGCCGACACTCTACCCACTGAGCCAAACCAGCCAGGGCAGCCACTCCACTCTTTAATCTTCCCTGCTGGCTCTCCTTGCAGGCCACTTCCTTCTCACCCACTTGCTCCTGGAGCGGCTGAAGGAGTCTGCTCCTGCACGGGTGGTGAACCTGTCATCAGTGGTCCACATTGCTGGCAAGATTCGCTTCCACGACCTCCAGGGTGAGAAGCGCTACAGCCGCGGTTTTGCTTATTGTCACAGCAAGCTGGCCAATGTGCTTTTTACTCGTGAGCTGGCCAAAAAGCTCCAAGGTAAGTCGGGAGAAAGGGCCAGGGTTCAGGTAGTGAAAGCAGGGTTTTCAGTCCAGATTAGAGTGTCACAGAAATTTCTGAACACCTCAAACGTGAACACTACAGTGGTAAGTAGCTCTATGCCCTAAGGAGGATGCCCTTGGGAAACTGAAAATTGAGTAACAGTTAGGAACCTAGGAAGTTACCTTACATTTATGTCAAATCTTATATCTATTATCTGATATTATTTTTCACAACAACCTCTTGCAACAGGCAGAGCCGGTATTATTATTATATGGGTCCAAACCGAGGTCCAAAGAAGCAGCCAGCCCAGGTTTATACAGCTTTCAATCCAGGGTACTTCCTTCTGAGTGCTATTTGCTGAGATTCATGTGGTTAGCTGAGCAAGAGAGGTGCCACTGCCCGGAGTCAGGGAGCTAGGGCTGGACGTCGCCCCCTGGGTCTGAGTTCTTGCTCTAACACATGGTAGCCAGGTGTGTATAAGGACATGTCCCTTTATCTTCTCCTGACTTCATCCCCTCAACTTTAAAATGAGGTGAGGCCTCTCTTAATCCTATGATCCTTTCCCTTCCTGGAGTTTTACTTGAGTTGCTGGCTTTGGGATCTGGAAATCATGGGGACTATTTGCTACGCTGATTAAGCCAGAGTTCAGGAACAATGGTATTTGATATCAGAACACAGAAGGTAGAAGAATAGGGCAACCATTAAAAGAAATAGTAATAATGACAATAATAATTGAGAGTTTTGTGTGTGCCATGGACTATACATGTCTTAACTCATTTAATACAACATTCCTATGAGGTAGGTGCTACTGTTTTTCCCTGCTCTACAAGCAAACAAACAAGATAGGCACAGATATATATATATGAAACTTGAACAAACAAACAGAAGAGACCAGCACAGATATATATGCAACTTGACCAAGCAAGTTTCCTAGCTGAGCCAGGATTTAAATCCAGACAGTCCAGCTCTGGAGTCCATGCTCTTTACATCAGAGTTCAGACCTTGACCTTGCAACCTGCTAAGGTATGACCTTGGGCAATCTTAACCTCACTGTGATGAGACTTCAGCTTTTTCCACAGTAAATGGGCATCTTAATAGAACTTACCTCATAAGCCTCTTTGAGAAGCAAATGAGATAATGCAGGTAAAGCACGCAGTAGTCTCTTGCACATACTAAGTACTAAAAATAGTGGAGGCACCAGGGGTGTCTGGGGGGCATGTTAACCCCCATCATCTTCATCAGCACCCCTCAATCTACACCTCATAAAATGTGCTTGCCCGGCAAATGCGGCTCAAGCCACTAACTTCCTTTCTTTCACCCACATTGCTTCCCTTAAGTCAGGAGCGGGAAACCTTCTTTCTGCCAAGGGCCATTTGGATATTTATAACATCATTCGCCGGCCATGCAAAAATATCAATTTAAAAATTAGCCTGCTATATTTGGTCAAATATTTAATTAACTCACCCCTAATGCCTTGGCAGGGCCAGACCAAATGATTTCACGGGCCTTATACAGCCCGCAGGTCAGATGTTCCCTACCTCTGCATGCCCTTCCTATAGAAATTCCAAAGATGCCACTGTCAGTAATTGATACTATTACTACTGCTACTACTAGTAGTATTAGTATTAGTAGTGCAACTAGTACATGTTGTTGTTTCTATTATTAACTAGAGGCCCGGTGCATGAAATTCATGAAGGGGGGGGGGGTGTCCCTCAGCCTGGCCTGCACCCTCTCCAATCTGGGACATCCGTCTCATAATCTGGGACTGCTGGCTCCTAACCGCTTGCCTGCCTGCCTTCCTGATCACCCCTAACCACCTCTGCCTGCCTGCCTGATCACCCCTAACTGCCTCTGTCTGCCTGCCTGATTGCCCCCTAACCGCTCCCCTGCCGGCCTGTTGCCCCTAACTGCCCTCCCCTGCTGGCCTGATCACCCCCTAACTGCTCTCCCCTGCTGGACTGATTGCCCCTAACTGCTTGCTCCCCTGCTGGCCTGATTGCCTCTAACTGCCTCTGCCTCGGCCCCTGCCACTGTGGCTTTGTTCGAAAGGAAGTCAGACATCCGGAAGATGTCCAGTTGACCTGGTCTAATTAGCATATTACCCTTTTATTAGTATAGATACTTAAGTCACAGAGAAAGATGACATCGACATAGAAGGACCTTCAACTAAGCATTCATTTGGGAGCACAGAAGGCTGAGAAGGCTATAGATCTTTCTGGAAGAGATCAATTAATTACTAGCCAGATTTTACCTGGCTAGGGGTGGCACCTTCTAAATCACGGGGTTCTGTTTTTTGAGTCCCTTTTTCTCACTTATGCATTTTGCAGCAGGAGGTGAGCTGTTTCGGGGGCTCAGAGTATGTCCCTGCTCTAACTGTGCTCTCTTTGCCCTAGGCACAGGGGTCACCACCTACTCGGTGCACCCGGGCATCGTCCGCTCCGAGCTGGTCCGCCACTCCTTCCTGATGTGCCTGCTCTGGCGGCTCTTCTCCCCCTTCCTCAAGTCAGCACGGGAGGGGGCGCAGACCAGCCTGCACTGTGCCCTGGCTGAGGGCCTGGAGCCCCTGAGTGGCAAGTACTTCAGGTGCGTGGAGGCAGTGCAGGTTCTCTCCCCACCTGTGCATGGTGACACTCACCATTCCCTGGGCTTTGCACCCCAGGTGGCCGAGTTTGCACCTCATAGCAGAATCCAAGTTTGGTTTGGGCCTGCAAACCAAATGCTGTAACTTTTTCAAGGGAACTTACATTAGAAACTTGGCAAGAGTTGCTTTCCTGGCTCTATTTTATATCTGTGTGCCATGTTTCCAGGAAAGAAAGCTTTGTAGCTTTCTGAGAGCCATAAGAGAAGGCTGTCCCCATTGACTGTGCCTTGGGAAGGATATTAGCAGGCTCCCTCGTTGAACCTTTGGCTGACTTTTCCATGCATTCCTTAATACCAGGGCAAGGCCACACTCCCCAGGGTGAACTCTGTCTCCCCAGGCTGCCAAGATCGGGACTATCTGTTGCAATATAGAAATAGACATTTCAGTGTTGAGTTTTGTCACAAATTCAGTTTGGGAATAAAGGGGAGCCTGGGACTAAAAGAGGGAAACACTATGTATCTACTTCTATACAAACAGAGCAGAGAAGAGTGTAAAGAAAAGTAATTAACGCATAGGCATTTCTTCTTTATCAGAACCGCATATTCCATGAACGCAGGCAATGAACTGCAGGATTGGTGGTAATACCTCTGACTGTGTCACCCATGAAACGGTAGTATTTTCATGCCCCATCGCAGTTGCAGATTTCTCAAAATGTCACTTCTGCTCGCCACTGCTTGGAAATCCGGCGGTTAGTAGGCCCAGTGCTAGCTCTTGTTATGGATTATATTAGTAAAGAAGCTTATGTGTCACTATGCCATGGATTTTTTACAATATTTAAAGACTGCATTCCAATACAGTTGGTTTCTTTTCCTGCAACCTATTTTATACATTTAGAAATGTATTCTGAGAAAGAGGCCATAAACTTTTCCGGACTGTCAATTTCCACTCCTGGATGTTTACGTTCTTTCTTTGCCCTCCAGTGACTGCAAGAGGGCCTGGGTGTCTCCAAGGGCCCGAAATAACAAAACTGCTGAGCGTCTGTGGGCCGTCAGCTGTGAGCTTCTAGGAATTCAATGGAAGTAGAGCTGGTAGAAGAGCCACGGCTTTATCAGGTCTGGCCCGTGCCACCATGAAGGGGGACCAAGAAGGCCAACCCTCAGGATGGTCCTCCCGGCTGGCTGCTGCTGTGAATCCTGTCCTCTGATTCTCCTGACCCTTCTGGAAACCTCTGTATACCCAACCCTCTTGTGAGGCTGGCTCATGGCATCGGATGTTCACATCTACAGAGCATTCTTCTCCAAGACTTGCAGTCGGCCTCCCTCTCGGGGCAGGAGGAGGAGGCAGATGCCAGGCTGAGCACAGGGATGGCAAAAGAGCCTGGGAAACTGGGTCAGTTTCCTCACCGGTACTAGAAACGCCAGCTAGCAGGCTCAGCTGAGGTGGCAGGAGCACCAGCGTTACGTATTTCCAGGGACTATAGACTCAAACTTTTGACTAATATCTCCTCTTTAAATTCTGGTCACAACTCTGGAGTCTGGACCAACTCAGGAAAATCTTGGCTTAACCTTGGCCAACTTTGGTTCCTTCCGCTGAGCACCCTCGAGTCCCTGCATGAAGCTGGGCCTTCCCATTTTCTTTTTCCACTTTTTTAAAAATTGAAAAAAAATTTCTAGCTTTATTGAGATATAATTTTTAATCATGTAGAGGGTTTCATTTTCCAAATCATTCCCTTCACCTCATATTTTTAATAGTTTGTTGATTTCTTTTTTAAAAAAGACAGGAAGGAAGAGGGAGAGAGAGATATAAACATCAATGATGAGAGAGAATCATTGATTGGCTGCCTCCTGTACACCCCGTACTGGGGATCAGGCCCACAACCCAGGCATGTGTCTTTGCCCGGGGAATTGAACCGGCTACCTCCTGCTGCACCGGACAATACCCAACCAACTGAGCCACACTAGCCAGGGCTTTACCTCAATTTTTAGAGGAAATAGACTACACATCCCATTGCCTTACTTATTTTCTCAGGGTAGCAAGAGAGAAATGGAACAAAATGGAAAGCCAGCCTTCTATTTTAGTGAGTAGTATCTCACCCTACTCACAACCCATAACCTTGTTATAATGTCACATCTTATAATGCATTATTAGGATGGTGTAAAATAAGATGTTTCGATTGGATATTTCCTCAAGTTTCTTCCAACTCTCCCATTTTATTACCTAAGAAGTAATGGAAGTGACTTCAATTATACATATGCTACGTTTCACTATAGATTAAGGCACGAGGGAATGTGGGACTTGATTGAATTTGATACATAGATGCAGAAAAACCACGCTCTGATAAACCCTCTACCTGAAATTATAGGTCTCTCTCTGGTCTCCCTGCTCTCCTGTGCTGCAGCCCTGGGTGACCTGCTGCTTGCCTCAAGTGCTGAAGTCACCAAGAAGAGGTAGAGAGATGACCTAATCTGTGAGCCAATTGACCCACGAAGTCAGGTTATTGGTTTCTGTTCTAAAGCATCCACAGGGCATCTGGTGACAAAAATGCCCTTTTCATCCATAGCAAGTAGACTTTTTTTTTTTTTAATCCTTTTTATTAAGGAAATTTTTAAATAGTAAAAAGTAGAGCAAATGGTATTATGAATCCCCATGTACCTGCCTATCATCCAGCTTCAACATTAATGTTCTGTCAGTCTTGTTTCATCTATATTTCCTCCAGGACATTTTTTGGGGGTGGGGTGGGATACTTGAAAGCACATTCTAGACATCACACATTCATTCATAAATACTTTAATGTGTGTATCTAAATAAGGACATTTGTTTGTTCGTTTGTTTGTTACTAAATCACAACACTCTATATGAATGAAAAAGGGGCTATGCGATAACCCTGACAAGCACAGGGTGTTCTGATCTCAAAGTCCTAACTGAACAGGTTATAGCAGGCAGTCACATCGCAGGTCTATAGCTTCCTTAGCAAAGGTGTTTTTTTTTTTTAATCCTCACCTGAGGATATGCTTACTGATGAGAGAGAGAGAGAGAGAGAGAGAGAGAGAGAGAGAGAGAGAGAGAGTCATTGATGTGAGAGAGAAACATCGATCGGATCGGTTGCCTCCTGTATGCTTTCCAACCAGGAACCAAACCTGCAACCTGGGCATGTGCCCTGACCGGGAATCAAACCTGCGACCTTTGGTGTATTGTACCAACTGAGCAACACCAGCCAGGCTAGCAAAGCTCAATCTTTACCTTAAGTGAGCTCTGTCCATTGCTCTTATGCGTCTAGGATAATATGTCTTTGAAATGTCAGAGTAATTTTATTTTCTGGACCTCTCTTAGGCACAACTACCGGCACCAGAGCACAAGACCACAGAATCCCTCTTGTTATCTTGTTCCCCGTATACCATTTCTATGTGCTGTGAATGTTTACTAACTATTCCCTACCCACCAATGTAAAAGTGTTTCTCCATTTGCCTTTTATTCAATCCTATGTTTCTCTCCCCACCCCCTAGCCCATGCTTTCTCCCACCTCCTTAATCTACCACCAGTGGATTTCATGTAACCATCTTATGACTCCTCCTTTGATTCTAGTGTATAAAATAAGCTGCAAAACTGCCATTCTCTGGAGCATTTTCTCAATCTGTTAAGATTTTGCTTCCTGTTATATGTCATCAGTTTGGCTCAAATAAACTCACAACAACTCTCTATAGTTTTGAACTTTTCTTATGCTGACATGTAACTGCTAACAACATGAATAATTCCTGGGTATCATTTACTACTTGAAGTTCAAGTTTCCTTGGTTGTCTCACAGAAGTCTTTTTACCACTGGTTTGTTTAAATCAGGGAAAGAGAGATGATTCTCCTGAAAAAAAAAAAAAAAAAGAAGAAGAAGAAATGGAAGTCCCCCCCCCCCCCCCCCGCCCCCGCAGAAGCCCCAGCAAATCTTCTTGTGCCTCATTGGCCTGAATAAGTACTGGGCCCTCTCCTGAACCAATCCCTATGGCTAAGGATGGGCTGTGTTAATTGGCTTAAGCCAATCACATCCCACACCTGAAGCTGGGGTCCATCTCACCCACTCTACCCAGTGGGGAAGAATAGTAGCTGATACAAAGCACTTAGGTTAATTAGGATTAGCAGTCCCCACAAGTACCCTCTAGGGCAGCAACTATTGCTCTCCCCGCTTTACTGACTGGCACCGAGAAGTTAAGTAGCTTGCCCAAGTTCACAAGGTTGATACATGGTAGAGTGGACCCTGGTAGTCTGACTCTAGAACCAACGTTTTTAACAGCCATGCTCTGTGGCTTCCCAAGGTGGAGGAAGCAACACATTCCCTCAAGGAAAACTCAGGGAACATGAATGAGCGGAGGGGTGAGGGGAGCACTGGGGAAGCAACCAATATGTGCTCCCTCCTGAGACCCGGGGCCTCCTAGGCTGTTGGGTCCACTGGGAAGCCTGGTGAAGAAGGAAGGGGAAAAAGAGGAGGAGGGTGGAAACAGGAAAAGGCCATGCAAGGGTGGGAGACAGGGCTGGTGAGGAGCATGCATGGCATTGATGATCCTGGATTTCTCCCCTGGGCTGGAAGAATAAGCAAACATCGAAAACCAGGGGCACGCAGGGCTGCTGTCATGCAGGAGGAGAGCAAGCAGACCACGAGTGTGAGAGCAAAGATTCACACCTGGGTAAGAGTTTAAGAGATAAGCAACGCAAACACTGAGGCAAGAGGCATGGGCTTGGGGTGAGGGCTTTGATGCATGTCAGAGATGGCTGGTTGTAGGTGGAAGAAACAAAGCCATGCCTGGGCAGCAAGGAGTTGGCTCCAGCTGCCACTTCCAGGCAGTACACTGGCATTGCTGTCGGTAGCAGAGGGTTTTTGAGTAAACCTGCTCACAGGCTGGGTTCTTCCACTTCCACACATTCAACTACAGTCCTTTTTATTAAATTGGATGCTTCTCTCTATAGACCTTTTTTTTTTTTTTTTCCCAGAGAGAACAGAATGCTAACACATTCAAAAGATTGTTCCTTGCCAAACCGGTTTGGCTCAGTGGATAGAGCATCGACCTGCGGACTGAGAGGTCCCGGGTTCGATTCCGGTCAGGGGCATGTACCTTGGTTGCGGGCACATCCCCAGTGGGAGTGTGCAGGAGGCAGCTGATCGATGTTTCTCTCTCATCGATGTTTCTAGCTCTCTATCCCTCTCCCTTCCTCTCTGTAAAAAAATCAATAAAATATATTAAAAAAAAAAAAAAAAAAAAAGATTGTTCCTTAACATATATAGGATCCTTATATTATGTGTGCTTAGAACCCTTTGGACTATTACATTTTATAATTTTTCATGTTTGTCAAACTACTTGTTAGTAGGATTGGCTTAATAAAGGCCATCCTATTCTTGATTTGTGGCAAATATCTGAAATCTGAAAAACCTTTTTGTATTTTCTCTAAGATACACAGAGACCTGGGGGCCGAGTGCTGGGGACAAAGGGCTCATAGCCTCAACCTGAAGCAGAGGGGCGGGGCGATAGTAACACAGCAGGGCCTGGAACTCAGGGCCAAGCCAGGAGTCTACACGTAGGATCCGCAGGGTCTATAAATGCTAGGAGGAAACAATTTGAGTGAGATCCCAGCACCCAAGGGGGAAGAACTTTGCTTTCCCACAGCTTAATGGCCTTAGAAACTTTGGGGGGCTGAGGGCTGACGTTAAGGTCACAGTGTTTGGTGGAGAAATCCTTCCCTTTGAGTTTCAGGGCAGGGGAGCATTCCCTGCATTATCATCTAACCATGGTCTCTGGAAAACACAAAAATTGCCCCAATTCTACTTTCCTCATCACAACATCCATACTGTACATACTCTTCCTTCCTAAAGAATGGCTCTACTTGAAGTATGCGTCATTTCCTGCCCTCCTGGCAGGTGGCACAGCTCAGCTGGATCAAAGTAGTACAGAACTGGGGTGCTTACTTCTAATCATAAGGTCTAACCTCATTGAAAGAAGTCTGTGGCCCTGGCTGGTTTGGCTCAATGGATAGAGCGTTGGCCTGCGGATTGAAGGGACCCGGATTTGATTCCAGTAAAGGGCAAATGCCCAGGTTGCGGGGTCGATCCCCAGTAGGGGGCGTGCAAGAGGCAGCAGATCAATGATTCTCTTTCCTCATTGATGTTTCGATCTCCCTCTCCCTACCTCTCTGAAATCAATAAAATGTATTTTAAAAATAATAAAAAATAAAAAGTCTGTGCAATATTAGCTGGCCAGGGAAAGTATTTTAAATCTGAAGTTTTCTATTTTATTTCGAATTGTTGGGTGCACTTATACTTAACAGTAGTGACACCAAATATGCAAGAGCTAAGCAGCAAAGAATGGCAAAAAGAAAAAAATGTGAGTATTGGTTTTACATGTTGTTGGCATTTTCAAAATGTTGAACAATAGTTGTTCCCCTTGCTTAGAGTCTAGGCTCTGCCACTTCTCATCGTGGTCAGGTGCTCCCACAAGACTCAGCCTCCCACAGCACTGCTCCCTGGGAACCATCTCACAATCCGGCTTCATCTTGTCTCTGTGTAGCTGACTGTCCAACACCGAAAGTATTGTCTAGTCAGCTCAGCCTGGGCAAGGAACAGGTGCCAGCCTTGGCCTCCTGTCATGTTTCCAGAAGAGACTTGCCTCACATTAACTACCCAGCAAGGGAAAGAAAGGCCTTAGCTCAGCGTAAATGACACTGGGAATCCCGTGGCTGAGTCACCATTCAACCTTCCCATCTCTGCTCCTTAGATTTTCCCATGACCACAGAGGCCATTTCTCTTGAAATCTGTTTGTGCTGTTGGATGTGGCTTCCTGCCTGGTAGAGTGCCCTTAGGATACAGGAGGCAAGATCTGGATGAGAAGGGCTCAGGGATTACAGTCATCTTAGACTTCTTGGCAACCAGGTGCTTCTCTAGCTGCCCCAGGCCCGCTGCCTTCGCTATTCCTGGCTTCTGTTAAGCTCTGAAACCATTGGCTAGGCTAGTCCAGGAGGGAAAAAACTTTCCCTCTGGCTTGACAGACACTGGCCTAAATTTCTTCAACATAAAACTTGTCTGGGACACTAATGGAAAAGGAAACAAAAGAGACGTTTGAAAATCAAGAGGCAAATAGTTCCAGAGCATAGATTGCCTATGTGATGTGTAACCGCACAGATGACCTTGGCTAGCACCTGGCCCTTGTCTGATTCAACTCTGTATTCAGCATGGAGAATCTAGCTTACATCTTCGCCTCTTTTAGTTACAAGACAGACACCCACTTTGAACAAGCTTAGGCCAAACACCATAAAACATTTTGCTCATAATTTCAAGGAAGGATTGAAACTAAAAAGTGGGAAAGGGCTCTTTCTCTTTTGGTCCCAGATACTTCGAGAACTGGGTGCTTCGGTATAAACATGGCCAAGTCCAAGAACCACACCATGCACAACCAGTCCTGAAAATGGCACAGAAATGGCATCAAGAAATCCCGATCACAAAGATATAAATCTCTTAGGAGGGTGGACCCCAAATTCCTGAGGAACATGTGCTTTGCCAAGAAGGACAACAAGAAAGGCCTGAAGAAGATGCAGGTCAACAATGTCAAGGCCTCGAGTGCACATTCCAAGGCTATCAAGGCCCTCACAAAGCCCAAGGAGGCCAAGCCCAAAGTCCCAAAGGGTGGCAGCTGCAACCTTAATCAGCTTGCCTTTCATGGCTCACCCCAAACTTGAGAAATGTGCTGTGCCCGCATCGCCAAGGATCTCAGGCTCTGTCAGCCAAAAGTCCACGACCAAGGCTCAAATCAAGCCCCAGGTGCAGCTGCAGCTCC